CAACATCCGCCTCGGTGCCCTTCAATACCAGCTCGCAATAGGCTCACTCATCGTCGTCGGCAGGAACATGAATCTCTTCAATCTTGGGGTCAAACCCGAACCTCTCCATCTTTATGAGCATAATGGCCTTAAGATCTGCAATATTGTATAGACCGGATTGAAATCGGTCAATCACCCAACGGAGGTTCAGGCAAGAGTTAAGCTCAATGTCCCTCTCCATCTCGGCAGAGCCCTTGAACTCCTGCTTCCCGAGCTCCTTACCCTCTTCGGCACCTTGGGCACGCATAAGTTCCCGGAAATCAACTTTTTCCTTCTCTAACTTCACCAACTCGGCAGCGTGTGCCTCTGCCAAGCGTATCAGTTGGGCTTCTTTGTCAGCTCGATCCTGACGAGTTTTCTGGTGCTCTTCCCGAGCCCTTTGGTGTTCTTCTTGCTCCTTCAAGTAACGATTCAAATTGTTCCTAACTTCCTTCTCAGAGGCACCGATTTGCGCCGTAAGTTTGCGCACCTCATCTTCCAGACGTTTCTTTTCAGCCATTAATCCTTCGATCTCGGTCTTGGCTGTGGCAAGCTGGACCGTCTTTTCTTCTACTTCGGTGGTCAAGGAAGCTTTGTCTGCCTCCATAGATACAAGCTGACCATCGCGCAACTCCAATTTGTCCTTTCGTTCATTATGTGCAGCAGCGTTCATGCGGAATTCATCTTCCATGGCACAGAGGCCAACCAAGGCTCTTCCCAAAGTCGCCTTAGCATAACTGAACCGATAAGTACTCGACAGACCGGACACTCACGCCTCAGTCAAAGGGTCCCAAGACATCAACGGAACCCGAGCTGCCTCCATCACATGAGGAGGTTGATGAAATTTGTTGGTAAACTTCGGGACGATCATAGAGTGGAATTGTGTAAACCAGCTCTCCATAACGTCGTCTGGAAGATTAAGATTGAGAATCCTCTCTTCGTCAATGGGCAAATAAGTGTTACCCCCATCTTGGTGGACTAGAGCATTCTTCTCCAAGATTAGTTGACCGACGTCGTGCCTGGCCTTGGAACGTCGTTCCCCCTCTGCCTCAAGCTCTTCACCAGCCTTCCTCTTGGATTTCTTCTTCTTCTTCTTCTTCTTTTGAGTCGAAGGCTCCTCTGTGGCCTTTTTGGTCATCTCAGCCTCTTCTGAGCTGGATATAATCACATGGAGGTCGGGATGGGTCATTTCGGCATCTTTCTCAACATCAGAGGGAACGACGAGAGTTGGAACTATAAGCTCGGTATTTGTCCCTGGGGCAGACTCAGGAACAGGTTCAGTGATAGGGGCAGGCATCGCGACTGTGACTAGTGGTCCTGAAGTGGCCCCAACGTCGGAACCCCCAGAAGCACGATTAGCTGCCTTCTTCTTCAATCCTTCCAGAAAATTCATACGACCCATCTCGGTATCCTTAACAGAAAACTGATGTTGGTAATCCTTTGCCTCACGAACGGATTTGAACCCGAAAAAACCAAGTAACGGATAATAAACTGCAAAGAAAGGACAGAAAAAGGGGTTCACGTAATTCACGCAAGAGATAAAGGAAAACAAACAGAGAAGGACTTGTATAAATAGAAAGTTTACTAGGTTCGAAGTCGGGAATTGCCTTTTTCGCTCCCAATTTCGCGTCCGCTAACTTTGAGTTATTCGTCAATAAACTCCACTTGCGCGCCGAGACACCTAGCTTGGCCAAATCCTCAAGCTTTTCCCTGAATTCTCCGCTGAGTTTGGGTTCTGTTTTCCTTTTGGCTACAAATATGAAAAGGTCCGACATGTTACCGAAGGAAAAACATCTCGTTAGGAGATATCGGGTAGAAGAGAGAAACTTACGAAAAGAGGAAACAACTCGGGTTGAGATCGTCATCCCGTCAATTGGTGCCTCCAGTCGGAAGTCAGGAGACTGCCAATCCCCACCGACCCACAACCACTCATCCTGGAAGCCATGAAGGGTCTCAGGGATTCCTGTAATCAATTGTCCCGTCTTTAAGTCGTATTTCGGCCTCGCCGCGCAGAAAAAACAACCAGTTGGTGGGACCCCCTCGTGCTCCCTACTCCTCTTGAAGTGAAATATACTTCTCAACTCGTCAATCATTGGGAATGGTAGTTTTTTCTGTGCCAGAAGGACCATGATTCCTATGATCTTTTTCCAACTATTAGGGGTCACTTGACTAAGGCTAAGACCCCAATCGCTCAAGTAATCGCCGATCACGTTGTCTAGAGGAAATCTCAGACCCGACCTTAGGCTCTCAGCGAAAATCCCTACACAACCAGGGGGAGGACAATGAATTCTTTCTCCCGGATAAGGAGCAAAGATTCTAACTGAAGAGGGAATCCGCACCGACTCGCGCAGCAGAACCACATCGGCATCCGTCATGATGCTGGGCTCCCCTAAAAATAGTACATCGTTATCGGGCCATCGCCGAGCAGGACGACTCCAGTATCCCGATTTAACAGGAATGTCTCTTTCCACTTCGGCGTCTCCCTCGATGTTATTCTTCCGGATATCCAGACGCTCGACGAAGACGGGGTCCCATCGGTAATAATCCCCCATTAACTCCATCAATTCATCGTCCAGTTCCATATCAGACACGGTTCGGCTGCTGCTTGGTTCACCTTGCTCACCGCTCACCGCCATAACCACGAGCAGAGAAAAATAAAAGAAATTAAGAAATCGAAAAATAAGATTAGGGCTTACCGAAAACTTGGGTGAACTCTTAAGGGATTTCGTAAGTCGTAGAAGAACGAGTGAAGAACGGGAAAGTTTGATAACAGAAGTGTTCAAGAAACCAAAGATACGAACGAATCGTTTAGATGGATTTTGCGAACCGATACTGCGGCTATATATATATATATATATATATATATATATATATATATGATGTTTTCCGACCGTTAGGATGAAAATGTCTGAGTAATCGTTGTGCCTTTTGGAAGAAACCTCCTTAATCCCATCATAAATGTTCGAAACTTAATCGTAGGCGTACACGTGTCTCGAAAACTGCCATAATTCCCGGCCGTCATTTATGGTACGTGTCCCTTGAGAGGAGTAGTGGGGAAGACACGTTCGTAGCATCTGGAAAGCTGCCTATTAACCGCCGCTTGATCTCACACTCGTCTATTGATCGTGAAAAAGGTGAAAATTCTCATCTAAGGAAATCACCTCGGTATACTCTAAGAAGTTCTGCGAATGACTTCAGAGCTAAAGTTAGTTGAGGTGAAAGTGTCATTAAGAAGCACGCTTGTCTGCATACTCCTTAATGACAGGGGCCTCTATGTTAATACCAAAACCGAATTCCGCAGATTAAGGGTGTTTCGAGTAGATTTAAGAAGAATTTAAAGTTAATTACTAGAAGACCGAGATGCGATGGAAATCCTCGGTATCATCTCGATATCTAATCGGCATCTCGGTACTATAACTTCAGTTTCCAAGACAAAAAGCAAGCTCCCAGATTGCTCCAGCATTGAATAAATGACCTCGGGATTGTCTTCTCGGTTCAAAAAGGGTTCTTTGGGAGGATGTCGCAGGTTACAAACATGTGGAACAACTGATATCTAGAGAAATCCGACTTCAACCCGACAGAAGTGACGCCTGTCACTCAGTAAGAGAGGCGCACATGCTTTCATCATTACCTAAAAAGTGTGCTAACGTCATAGCTGCCCCTAAACCATCAAATCTGCATTAAATATAGCCGACTTCTCTTGAAAGGTGTGCCAGATATAACTATAAATAGCAGCATTAAAATCGATACGAGGATCCAGGACAAACACATTAAATTCACGCATTTATTACCTCGGCTCTCTCAGTTCCCGACGTCCTGTATAAAAAAACCGACTTGCTCGAAATTGTAACCCACCTCATAAAATTAAGTAAAAATCATACTTTCTTCGATTTTGGTTGTATTTTAAGTCTTAATTACGTTGATTAAATCCGTTTATCAACACTTCTAATTATTGTAATCTTGTATACTTCGATTGATTAGGTGGGAGTTGATTTAAATACCATGTATGTTAATTTCTATAAATGCTTGGCTTGATGATCTAGGTATGCATGTGAACCGGTAATCTATGAGGCCTAACTCTAGCCTTTAGAGAGCGCAGTCCTGGTGTGGGCGGCTCTAGTCCTGGGGTGGACGGCTTGTTCCTATCTTTCCTGGTGTGGGTTGATAGATAGAGGTGTGATCACATAAGCGTGGCTGTGTTTAGGGAGGTAGACTAGTCAATTTGCTTACATACTGCGACCATGATTTTAAGTCTTTATATTGATTATACTGCATGGTATGGTGAGCTAAGTTGCTCACCCCCTACTATTAACCATCTTTCAGGTTGAGCTGGTGGCCATGGCGAAAGACGAGCGAGGCAGGGTCATTATGTGTTGAACTGCTACTTACTTGCTTCCGCTTGATTATTATCATTTTATTATCTCATGTTAGACTTGCTTATCATTTTATTATCTCATGTTAGACATGCTTCGGTTTTGAACTTGGATTATTGTTATGACATTGGATTTTGGATATGAATTGGATATTTCATATGACTGTATGATCATCGTAACATGAGTTGTTTGGCATGAGATATTTATGTTTGGGTTGGATGTACATGTGGTCCTAATGTGGACTTAAACTATATTATGTGAAATTTTGAGTAGCGCCCGTTAAATAAATCTTTAAAATGATTTTTGAAAAATTAACTCTGATTTGAAAAAAAAAAAAAAAAAAATTGGTATTTTTTACTTAAAAATAACGGGGCGTTACATACGGGAAAAAAAAAATCTTCAATTAAAAGAATAGCACCCTTTGGTTGGCGCTTCTAGTCGGCCCTCCTATAGAAGATCATGCCGGCTTTAGGACCCCTTAACTCTTGTGTGTAGTAGTTGAAACCAAGTCACAGTACCCAAAAGGATTTGCTGCTTCCTGAGCAGCAAAGGCCACTGATATGAGCCATGTCACAGAGCAACAGAGCTCCACACTTGTCCGCAGTATTCTTAAATCTTTTGCAATCCTAATCCCTCGGCCGAATCCACCATGTCACAGATATACACCGTCTTCGAATCCACCTTGTAGGGCAAGCTCACGGCCATGATCCTTTTCTGGGCTTCATCTCCAAAATTTCGATCCTCTCGTTTCGCCAATATTGGAATGTCCATATCAGTCAGAGGCTCCATGAGGAATTCCTCTGGCCCCAGAGGCTCCTCATCGAAAATCGACGAACAACCGTCGTAGAGATCGCCTTCATCGAGGTTGAAACCCTGAGGATCACTGAAACCCTCGGCCGAATCCCATCGACTTTCGTCAAACACCTAAGCCCCCCGACGGAGATTGCGCCTTTCGAACGCCACGAGCCCTTGTCGCCATATTGGACCGCACGATCGCCAAAGCCGGCACAACTCTCGATGCAACATTGCACGTCATTGCCCTAGTTGTCGTCGAAGCGCGAAACACCGTGTCGTCCTGCGCGATCCTAGGCCGCCGAGAATCCCTCATCGGACCGCCACTGGTCGTCGTCGAATCCTATAGCGGCGCGATGCCATTCGGGCTCCCAGCCCGCCGGTCCATCAACCTCCCAACTCTGCTCATGTGAATGAAAATCGCCTAGGGTTTTCCCGTCTGACCGACTCTGCTCACGAAATCAAAAATCACCTAGGGCATCCTCATCACGCCTGTCTGCGCGACCCGGGAAGTCGCCGCCGCCCTCAACTGCCCGTCGCCCCTTGTGCTTCCAGGACGTCGCGGAACTCTCGTAAAGCCACCCCTGGTCGCGGTGTCGACCATCACTTTTGCGCTGGAATTTGCAGCCAGCAGACCAGGTGCTCTTACCGTCATCTGTGTCGTTCAGAGGCAGCGGGGACCACTGTCGCGACGCCCCGACAGCCGCGTCCTCCATGTTCGCCTCTAGCTCCCCCGCGATTGCCACTGCCCCTAGCCCCATCACGGTTCATATGCAATTCCTGGACCATGGTGTTGAGCGTCAGACGTAAATCTGCGATCCCTGTAAAAAGGCCTGAACACTGATCCGTGAAACGCTCGATCATCTGCTGAAACCGGTCGTCGATCTGTTGAAACCGGTTGTTGAAGGTTGCGTCATGTTGTTCGTATGTTGCATCTTTTTGTCGCGACTGTTGGAGTAGTATACCCAGCGTTCCAATTGGATTGGATGTATTCTACTTGTAAATACAATCTATTGGAATTATATTAATTAAAAGGCATTACTTTATCTTAAGAGTAAGCATTTATCATATATTTGCACTTAAGATAAAATCCCTAGATCACATATAGTTATAAAGTATGGTTGCGCATAGAGATGGTGATCATGGAACATACCTTGAAAGCTGTGGTCTTAAATAAAGTTCCAAGTCGATGGATGTTTCGAAAAGGGATATCGAATAATCCATAAAAGACTTGTACATAGTATGTATGCTTGTTTGACAAGAATGCTGCATTCCATCAACATTAGCGTGGGACGCAAGTACATATATGTGGGTGCTTGTTAGAGAACAAGTTCACTGAACATGACCGTATGAAAATTCTTAATGAAGAATTATTTTAGTTAATTATTCTGTCGAATAAGAATTTTCATGTTACAATAGTACATGACTAATCCTTAGACTTGAGGCACAATGGTAACTTTGTGCATATTACGTTCTACTTTGATTTATCCTTTTGGTTGCTAGCACAATCGTATAAAGGGATATTTTGGGTATTATGTTAATATGTATGGAAGTTTGTTAGTGGCCAACAAAGGATTCGACACGTATGAAGATACGAGAATTTCCTATGTATTTCATAGTTAGTAATTCAAAGTCCTTGGCCAAGGCAGGATGAATAGAGATTCACACATGAATTACTAAACATGAAATAGAATCATAGTTATTAAATCAATTTGGGTTTCGACTAAAATCATACCCAAGATTTAATCGGGAAATTAGATGTCGAAAGGATTTTACATGTATGGACTTGTAATTGAAATAGGTTTACTCGCTATTCACTTAATACTAGATTCATGCTACTTGCTAGATGTTCCCATGATATGTGGGTTCTTGAATTAAGGAGTTAATTCATGAATAAGAGTTAATAAGATTAACTCAAATTACAAAGAGTTGTAAACCCACTACTAGTATTAATTGTGAACCTAAAAGGTCACACCAATTTTTGAATGAAGGTGAAATTCAAATAGTAATTCTAAAGAGTTAGAATTAATTGACAAATCTAATTTGATTAGATGTCAATTAAAGGAATATATTAAATTAATCAATTGGATTGATTAATTGAATTTTGGATATTAATTTAGTAATTAATGGAATTACTAATTAATATTTGGAATTTAAAATTAGATTTTAAATTTCAAATCCAAAATAATAATATGATTATTAAATGAGGAAATGAAATAAAGGATTAAAATAATAAAGTCTTGAAAGATGCTTTCAAGAATTATTATTTTATTAAATATCTTTAATATGATTAAAGATTAAATATTAATAAGAATAAATTAATTATGGTGGTTATAAGATGCTAACTACTTAACATAATTAATCTTATTCTTATTAATTGAATATTGGGTGGGGAATAGTCTTATTCAAGACTTAATATTTTATGAAAATATTCTTGAAGACTTTTTATATTTTATGAAAATATTCTACCCAACATTATTATTTTATACTAAAATGTTTAGTATAAATATGGACATACTTGATGTTCAAATTTAATCTAAGTCTTGCAAAGTTTTCAAGAGTTGAAAAAGAGAGAAAAGAAGAAGTGTTCTTCATATTCAAAAATACAAGAAAGTGTTCTTGTATATTTCCTCAAATAAATATTCCATTCTATTGAATAAAACCGATACTTTTCTACTAGCGAAGAAAGAGGTTATCGGAACCGGATTTCAAAAGGTGGATACGTTTAGAGGGAAGACAATTGGATTCCTAAGCGAGTAACTACAACGTGTTGCTGTTACAAACCGGGAATCGATTCCCTCATTCATCGACAAGTTTGAAGGAGTTCAAGACTAAGGTAAATTTAGAATTTACTTATAACAAATCAAAATATGTATTATTACATGTTATTAAAGATGAAGATCTGTTAATTCGCCATATGTATGTACGAGTAAAGTATTTAAGTGTTAAATACTTGTTTTAAAAATTTTAAATTCCGCTGCGTATAGCTCGTACGGTACAGGCGAACCCAACAGTGGTATCAGAGCCACGGTTATCATCTTTAAAACAGATTTTGATTTGTTAATGTTTATAAGATAAACATAATAATTAAATGTTTATGAGATAAACATATTAATTATTAAAATAAAATTTGATTTTTCTCCACACGAGTCGTGTGAATGTGTCACACGAGTCGTGTGGGGCCACACGAGTCGTGTGAAGTGTCACACGGGTCGTGTGGTTCATCAAAATATTTGATTTTGTTTGAAAGCAGGTACACACGAGTCGTGTGATATAGTCACACGAGTCGTGTGGGCTCACACGACCCGTGTCTTGAGCCACACGAGTCGTGTGAGGTGAGAAAAAAAAAAAAAAATTATGTTCATGTGATGAATGATTTAACATAGGGATGATCATGAGCCTTTTATTTCAATGGGATTGAATGTTTGCCTTTTATTTCAATGTGATTGAATGGTTGCATTTTTCAATACGATTGAATGAATGTAATTTATCGAGACCTGCGAGTCTCTTGGATTATGATTTGTAAAATTTTAAATTTTGTATCGTTAAAGATTAGATCTAGGTGGAGACCGTTCGATGCAAAAGGCCCACGCTTGTGTGGGTAATTTTACAAGTTGTAAAATTTTGAAGGTCTGTGCTTGTACGGGTAGATAAAATAAAATGTAATAGAAGTAGTTCTATTTGTTTGTTTTATCACGTACATAGGCATAGACCCATTTTGGCTCGAATGGGTCGTATAGGCAAGGTCATGATCATCCCACCGTATGCATGCATTAGATGTATGTTAGGTTTATTTATGCGTTTGTGATTCATGTGATGAATAATACGGTAAATAAATACACGTAAAGATGGTAATCGATGAGATCTAAGGAACCCAAAAGAATTAATTTGATTAATTCTATATCATATCAATAATGGATAAAAATAAGCTGGGACTTATTAATCCAGGCCTTCCATCAAAAGTAGACAACATGAGATGCTACGATGCTTTATCACTGACCATGAGTCGTGGGGTGGTTCTGTGTCGAAAGCTGTGAACTCTATTAAGTATATTGATACTCGTGAGATGGATTCCTCTTTGTGTTGACCATGAGTCGTGGGACACTCTGGTGGGCCATTATCATGAAAGTTTTGATGGGTTTGATTTGACACCAAGTAATATATACGGTCATAAAATTGAGGTATACAAGGAAAGGTGAGGCAAAATATCTTGAAGGTTGTATAGAGATACAATTGTCAAAAGTTGACTACCGATATAAATGTTCCATGCGTACTCATAAAATTGGGATATGGAATATTTTTTATTGGACTTCAAGCCCACTATGAAAATTAGATTTTCATAATTAAAAAGGGGTTTAATTAAAATAGTGGGAGACATTTAATATTTAAAGACCTAATATTAAATGAATATGAATTCCATAGTCTAATTATTTTCTCCTTCGTCTGTTGTTTTTGTAGATCAATCTACTTAAATGGCTAAAAATCCAATTGCTAGTATCCTTGAACATAACAAGCTAACTGGACCCAACTTTAATGATTGGCTAAGGAACCTTAAATCTGTTCTTCAATCGGAGAAGAGGGAATATGTATTCGACAAATCACCTCCTCCTCCACCCGAAGATCAGACTTCGGAAGAGTATGGAGAGTACTTACGTCATATAGATGACAATCTCCAAGCTCGGTGCTACATGTTAGCATCAATGTCTAATGAGTTGCAGAGACAGAATGAAGTGTTGAATAATGCTTCTGAAATTCTCCTTCACCTACAAGAGTTGTATGGTGATAGGACGCGGCAGATTAGATATCAGACATCTAAAGAACTTTTCAGATGTCGTATGACCGAGGCTCTTCAGTCCATGATCATGGGCTGAAGATGATAGCTCTTGTGGAAAAGCTCTCGTCCCTTGGAGTTATTATGGATAATGAACTCTATGTGGACCTCGTGCTGCAATCTCTGCCTCCTTCATTTGACAGCTTTGTCGTTAACTTTAACATGCATAATATGGAGACTTCTCTGCCAGAGTTAGTCAACATGTTAAAGACGGCTGAATCCACAATTAAAAAGGATAAGCCGGTGCTTCTCGTTGGATCCACTTCCAAAGCGAAGACTTTTCAGTCTAAGAAGAGGAAGGGAAAGGGAAAGGTTCCCAATAAACCCAACAAGAAGGCAAATAATGACAAAGGGAAGAACAAGGAAAAGGTTAAACCTCAGTTGAATCATGAATGTTATCATTGTGGTAAAAC